GTTTCGGGCCTAGACGTCAGCCTCTCTGCTCCTATGATGCTGCTTGGCCTGCTGTGTTCATCCAGCCCTGCACCTTGTTGTCTCTAGTTAAATAACCTATATTTTGTTAAGCTTTCCAGTCGAGTTAGAAGTTATACCAATTCTTCTTTCTTTTGTCGGTCTCCTGATTCTACAGTTAAAATACAATGTGTTTTGCTTAAAGCCATATAGCATAGCCAATCAAATTACATCTGGGACACAGCAGCCAACACTTGCCTCTAAATAAGATAAAAGTCTTAATATATTTGAAGGGGGTTTGGTCTGGTCCATAACATCATACAAGCAAATAACCAAAGTAATCACATCATCAAATTGCTGAACCTTGCATGAAGCAGTTTAAAACTATTTTGAAACTGAAAAAGACATGAAAAATATTTTTATGTACGATCAGTGTTTTTAAATATCTACTATGTAAGGTGCCCGAGTACGAAGTATAATTGGTCTTAATTAACAGAAACCCTCATAAGATGCTATATTGTGTGATGGGTGGGGTGAATCAATCATCCACTTCAACAGCAATTAAGTGCTCCCCACCAGTGCTTGAGCCCCAGGCAACAACATTTGAAAGCTGCAGAAGATCAGGGAAATGAAGCAGCTCCATCCAGCTAAAAATAACTGAATTGTGTTAACAGGCTGTTGTACTTTTACTCGGGAACTATGGACAGTAGATTCAAGGAAGGGTTCCCTAGACAGATGCATTGTCCTCAGTTCCCTGTTACAACCCAGACGAGAGTCCACTCTTACATATTTTGTTTTTCTCAAGGTAAAATCATCATGATGTGCTCAGTCTAACGTTATGGGGGCAATAACATAGGAACATGCTTCTGCAATAATTGATCAGGATGGTACTTTAAATTTCAAACAAATACTGATGAGCAAATAACTAGACCTATAAAAATTTATAAGTGGTTGATCAAGTCCTAAAAACGTGATCAAAAATCCCTCTAATGCAAAACTGCTTCCATTTACAAGTAGCAATAATGTCTATTCAAAAATGGCAATCCCACACATGTACAAGGAAAAGAAACATTCTGACTCCGCAAAGCAGTATCATATGAAGCATCCTGCATTCAAATTAGTATTTCTTTGCCTTTAGAAATGTTGGTATTGAGGCAGTAACGTAGGATACATGCCAATATCTTAACCAAATGGTCATCATTTATAAAGACTAGAACACTGCAAGGAATTTGACCAGGACGGAGGAGTCTGCACAGCTGAGTTGATTCAGTGCTGGTTAGAGGTTGACAGTAGGGTCGCTGAATAGTCAAATCACACCAAACGTCCCTTCTCTAGTCAGTGAGTGGAAGCCAGTTGGAATGTCCCCAAAACCAAACACCTACGTACTTCTGTGTTGAAATCAGACATCGTACCTACTCAGAGATCAGGTTAGCTTTCTCAAGGATAGATACAATTCTAAAACTTGAAGTTTCAGATCTAGAAGAAAATTTAAAAATCTGTTACTGTCTCTTGAAGCCATGCTTGCAAGTGGAAGCTTAATATTGTATACCAAAATATAATACAAGGCAAGCTCAGAAATTAAAAAGCAAAAGACTTTTTCTCATGTCCTAGAAAGAACTGTAGCTAAGAACAATGTTTGTTAAAACAGCTATTATTCTGGGTACCGATACATTAAAAGGGACATTATCCTCAAATCAAGGACAACTAATGACTTACAGAGGGAATAAAGAAATAAGTAGATCATATTTATTTTATATTAGTGATGCTCCAGTTCTGTTCTTTTTGTAGAGTTTATAGTTCAAAATATAGACAGAAGGGGCACTAATTTCTATTATAGTTAAATCCCACTTTAGCACGGGGCCATCTGTGAGTAGAAGCAACATTTGCAGTATTCACTAAAGAATTTAAAAAAAGACATTTGCCACAGAGAAAAAAAAATCTTGCATCAACATGCCAATCCTGAGATGAACCCAAAATTGATTTAACTCACCATTATCAAATTCATCAGGAATCTGTGGAGTAAAGAGAGAAAAAAAATATGATCAGTTTCTGCAGCCTATTTACCAGCAGGTTGGAAGCATTCATAGCACACCATCCTCCCAATTAAGACAGAAATTAATCGTCAAACATATGAATATTCAAATACATCTGTCAATGGATGGGGAAGCAGCTGGTTCCCAAACAACCGGCAACACCCTCACTATATTTGGAATGAGGTCTGTTATCGGCCCTAGACTTCATTACTAGCACGCAGTGGAAGTCAATCCACATACTTAATATATACTCTTTTCTGTCCTGAAGGCTTTGGGGCTCTTGCTGGCTTGCAACAACATATCCAATTGGCCATTCTTTGTGCCTAACATGACTGCCTACAGGTTACTTGCGGGCATAACACAACCAAGGCTAATTTTGTTGGCCAAAAATGGAAAGGTACAGAAATGCAATTTGGAGCCTGGGCTGAGTACCCCCCCCTCCCCAAACTTCCAAGCTTAGAGCCAATTTTAGTGCCCATTTGCTGCTACAGATGAGATAAACAATCACTGCACCTTCTGGTCTGCACAGCTTTGCCAAACCATCCAGAGCTGTGCACTTGGACTTCTAAGAACTAAGGAGTTAAAAATAATCTGGCTACCACTGTCCCCAATCCTACCCTAACATCATCTTTCAGGTCCTTGTCAATTACCCTTAATATTTTCCATTCTTATCACACTAGCTTCCAGGGGCTAGTATCCATATGTATATTGTAAACTTTGTACAGGATCTTCTACAGTAGGTTCTATTACAATCCAATATAATCTCCATCTGCTAGTCTGAATGATCATTTGGTGGGAATCAGGAATAGGAAAACCTTCTTTGACTGCAGGAAAGGAGATAATTTTTAAGAGTAACCCCAACCCCTTGGTTGACACCACACTAACTGCAGCAGATAATCTAGGAATTAGGAGCTAATTGCTCAGCCATTCATTAGAAATGGTGTTACAAAGACTCATTGGGGGAAATCTGCTGAAGCTGCAGTTTCTCATTCTGTGGTGTCTAGCAAGTTAGCTGTTCAGTGGGTACAAAATTGAGCAACTATATTTTCTCTCTCACTTTAACACATCAGATCCTTCAAAAGATGCTTCAAATCTTACACCTCACTTAAACGTGATGATGTATTGCTGTTTCTCAGCTGTCATCCATGTCAGTGGTAGCACTTTTGCCCAAATCTAGAAAAGGACCACTCCAAAGATGCAAGTACAAAATCTAGGATGGCACTCCAGTGTAGCACTGAGCAAGTGTTACACTGTTCGGGTGCTGTCTTTCAGATAGGTCTTGGAACAGAGACCTCCATCTGTCTTCTCAGATGGATGTAAAAGATCCCAAGGCACGAAAATGTGCAGCTGAGAGAGACTTGAACGTGAAAAGGTGCAGAACAACATAATAGTAGGTTATGCAGTGCAGGTCTATATCTATTCTTGCACAGTAACCTTGCAAAATAGGAAGAATGCTGAAATGTAAAAGACAGGTGGAAAAAAAATGAATTTTTCACTCATGTCTCTGACTATTTAACTTTGAAATGTATGTTTGTTTAAAATTCAAATTTTATCTGGAAATGAGCTAGGACTGATATTTTCAATAATATAATTTGCAACTAAAAAGGGCTGAGCTGCTATTGATCCATTTAGTATCTGCCAGCAGCTCTAAGTGAAGAACTCAGAGTCAAGCTCGATTCATCACCTAAAACAGTCTCTAACAGAAACAGAAACAGAAACAAACTGCTAGAGAAACGCAGTAGGTCAGAACTGTTGTGAAGAGGAGTCACTAGATTGGAGACGTTAATTCTCTTTCTTGCCACAGATGCTGCCGGATCTGCTGAGCTTCTCCAGCAATTTCTGTTTTCATCTCAGAGTCATACAGCATGGAAACAGATCCTTCAACCCAACTCGCCCATGCTGATCAAAGTTTCCCAAACTAAAACTAGTCCCCACTTGTCTGCATTTGGCCGATATTCCTTTCAACCTTTCCTATTCATGTACCTGTCCAAATGTCTTTTCAATGTTGTAACTGTACCTGCATCTACCACTTCATCTGGCAGTTCATTCAACATACAGACCACCCTCTGAAAAAGTTGCCCTTCAGGTCCCTTTTAAATCTTTCTCCTCCCAGTCTAAAAAATATATTCTCTAGTTTTGAACTCCCTCATCCCAGGGAAAATACCTTTGTTATTCACCTTATTAACACCCCTCATGATTTTATAAACCTCTACAAGTCACCCCTCAATACCCAACGCTCCAGAGAAAAAAGTCCTAGTCCATCCAGCCTCTCCTTATAACTCAAACCATTAAGTCCCACCAATATCCTGGTGGATCTTTCCTGAACCATTTCCAATTTAATAATATCCTTCCTATAGCAGGCAGACCAGAACTGGATACACTATTCCAAAAGAGGCCTCACCAATACCCTGCACAAACTCAACATGTTGTCCCAACTCTGTATTCAAAGGCCTGAGCAATGGAGGCAAGCATTCCAAACACCACCTTAACCACCCTATCTACTTGTAATGCAACTTTTAAAGAACTATGCACTTGAACCCCTAGGTCTCTGTTCAACAATACCACCCAGGGCCCTACTATTAACAAGTCCTGCCCATGCTTGCTTTACCAAAATGCGATACCTCACATTCATCCAAATTAAACTCCACCTGCCACTCCTCAGCCTAATGGCCCAATTGATCGAGATCCCTTTGTAGTCTTAAATAACCTTCTTCACTGTAGACAATACCACCAATTTTGGCATCATCTGAAAACAGGAAAGGTCATTGATAAAGCAACTGAAGATGGTTGGATACTACCATGAGGAACTCTATGTCTGGCTTTCATATCAAATTGTTGCTGTCTAGTTTCTGTTTGGTGGGTGGGAGAATGGGCAACTGCATATCAATGGAGGCAAAATTAGATAATAATTGCATGCACTCCAGCATCTGCAAGTCTTTGTTTTATTCTTTTATGTAACGCTCATTGAGATTTGGGAATCACTGGCAAGGTGTCTGGTGGGCTTTGAGATGGTGAACTTTCCTAATTACTACAACCTGTTGTGAAGGTGGTTTCTCTGTTGTGTCAGATAGGAACACAGTTTAATCTTATGATGAAGGATCAGCAAAGTGTCTAAATCAGGGTGCAACAGAAAAGTACTATTGTTTCTCTGTCCTTGCTGCCCTTCCTTGCAAATGGGTACGATGATGATGATACTGCATGTGATAAAGAAAACACAGTGGTTTCCACCCACTTCAGATTGGAGGCTGCTCCCAGCTTTTCCACACAGAATGTAACAAGCTGCATCCACAGATACAAACTAAACCACACCACATTGTTGTATTTTCAAACATCAGTCCCTATTCTATTACAGCTTTGATCAAGAGCAAGATTTTGTCACAGACTTGGGAGCAAGCATATTTTGGCTTCAATATAAAGTTCTTACAGAAACTAAAAACCCAGCAAACCTTTCTGAAACAATTTCACTTCCAACATCTTAAGCTACCATTACCAAAAATGGGTTCAAAAACAGAATTAAATAAGCTTTGTTGCAAGTAGTGCACATAACATTGGACCCTTATCAAAAGAAGGACTCATTTCTCTTGGAGGGGGTTAGTTAAATGTTCATTAGCTCAGTTCTCCAGGGGTTGACCTTTGAGGAAAAACGGAGCAAAACCAGCCTTTCTTCTATAGTCTAGAAAGTAATGAGAAGTATTCTGATTGAAACATAAAATTATAGGGAGGGTTTGACAAGGCAAATAGTAAGAGGCTGTTTCTACTGTTTGGACCATCTACAAGGATTCTCAATTGAGGACTGAAATAAGAATTAAAAAAAGCTGTTCAGAGGAATGTGAATCTCTGCAATTCCCAAACCCAGAGGGCAGTCTGCAGTTACTTAGTTAATAAGTTCAATTCATATTCATGAAACACCATGGGCCATCAGCAGCAACAAAACTGTATTCCATACACAATCTGCAAGTGGATGTGAATACAGGAGGTATGATTAGTAAGTTTGTAGATGATACTAAAATTGGCAGTGCAGTGGACAGTGAAGGAGGTTATCTCAGAGTACAACGGGACATTGATCCGATAGGAGTTTAATTTAGATAAATGTGAGGTGTTGCATTTTGGGAAGGCAAATCAGGGCAGGATGTGTACAGTTAATGGTAGGGTATGGGGAGTGTTGCCAAACAAGGGGTACTGAAGCATTTGGTATGCTTGCCTTCATTGGTCAGTGCATGAAGTATAGGATTGGGATGTGATGTTGCAGCTGTACAGGACACTGGTTCGGCCACTTTTAGAATATTACATTCAATTCTGGTCTCCCTGCTATAGGAAAGGTGGTGTTAAACTTGAAAAGGGTTCAGAAAAGATTTGCAAGGATGCTGCCATTTGAGCTGCAGGGAGAGGCTGTGTAGGCTGGGAATTGTTTTTCCTCTGGAGCGTTGGATGTTAAGGGGTGACAATATAGAGATTTATAAAATCATGAGGGGCAAAGATAGGGTGAATAGCCAAGGTCTTTTGCCCAGGGTTGGGGAATCCAAAACTAGAGGGCATAGGTCTAAGATGAGAGGGGAAAGATTCAAGGGGGATCTAAAGAGGAACTTTTTCATACAGAGGGTGGTGCATGTATGGAATGAGCTGCCAGAGGAAGTGGAGGAGGCTGATATTATTATAACTTTTAAAAGACATTTGGATGGGTATCTGAATAGGAAGGGTTTAACAGGGACATAGGCCAAATGCTGGCAAATGTGACTAGATTTATATAGCATTTCTGGTCGGTATGGATGAGTTGGACCGAAGGGTCTGTTTCCGTACTGTACATCTCTGACTATTTATTGCCCATCCGTAGTTGCCCTTCAGAAGGTGGTGGTGAGCTGCCTTGCTGAACTGCTGCAGTCCATCTGCTGTGGGTTGTCCTGCAATGCCAATGGGGATAAATTCCAGGATTTTGACCCAGCAACAGTGAAGGAATGGTAATATATTTCTAAGTCAGGATG